AAATTCCATTTTTATAAGTCAACACTTAGCATTGTATTCAAGTAATAGAAAAGATCAGTTGTTGATCAAGCTAATTGATAGAGAATTTTCAGATACATTTTTAAAAAAAAGTCCATGGATCTTCATCCAAGTCACTGAGAGGTCAGTGCATAGATTTTTCCAACAATTCTCTGTTCATAAATTATATCAAAGAAATTACCTATGGTGAAACTTGAAATACACAGTTATATACCTACTGGTCGGCCGTCGGGGTCAACATTCAAGGCTCCAGACAATATTTATACTTGTCCTTAGGAGCCACAACTAGAGCTCTGCTTTACCCCCATTATTGGTGCCCAGAGATTCCTGCTAGACAAAAAACTTCTATATAATTGGAAGCAAAAGTTCATGATTGAGCCATGGCCCGTGAGATTTTCAATTTATTGAAAATTTCACCTTGGAGCAGTCAAATTTCAGTAATAAGTAGGAAAATTAAATTCAGTAATAAGTAGACCAAGTAGAGGTAGACCAAGTAGAGGTAGACCAGATAGATGTAGACCAGGTACAGGTAGAGGTAGACCAGGTAGAGGTAAACCATACGGTAGCTTCATCAGGCAGGACTTACCAAGTTAGCTATTGACTGTTGTAGTGTCAGAGGCAGAGACGCAGAGCAGAGATGTTCCAGAATTCTGTTCATTTTTTACTCCTTAATATAGTTCATAATTCAATTACATATTTATATATACGAATATGCTAGACTATCCATGATACTTCTCTACTCTAGTATACGAATCTACGTTCTACACTCTACTCATAGTACTCACTACATTAAAAACTTACCAGGATGGTTTGATCTCCAATATATTAACTCTGAGACCATCATTCCTACCATCAATAATGATACTTGAGTCGCCACTAAACAGATCCAGCACTAAGTTGATAAGTGCATTTATCTCACCGCTAAAAGGCGTTTAATACTAAATACTAGACTACTACTACTAGTCAGCACTATGATTTATAGAGTTCAATAACCACGTGTCACGTGATGACAATAATGCTGTTTTAATTGCAGTATAAATATGCTCAGTTTTGTCGATAAATAGATAGCTCCTAATTCTATTGAAGGCTGGCGACTTAAGTGCAGTGGTGAAGTTATTGGCACAGACGGTACAATTCCATCGTCAACCTTGACTCCAAAAGATAGGATTTTTGGAAGGCAAAGCTTTCCTGGAGCGTCGAGCCATCGGGATAACCATTTTTCTTCAATAAATAAACTGTCAATTTTCCCTCAGCATTCATCACTATAGAATAGAATAGAAGTGTCGGCGCTGAAGAAATAGGCCCACCTGTTGCCGATTCTACTTTCATATAGAATGAGCTGGCGATACTAATGAATGGATTTAATAAATTATTATAAAGTGACTTCGGATGCAGCGTTGACAAACGGCCACCAAGAAACAATCAGAAGCAAATCATTTCTCCCAGCCCAGCCTGAGGCTGAAATGTCAAAAAATTAGAGCTCCTAGACTCGCTGTCGCACATTCCAGAAAATTCTAATTAATAATGATCAACATCACAACATGAAAGAAATGAAGAAACTTAGATAAGCTGATGGTCAACTTTTTTTTATCTAAGCCTACATTTACCAATGACAAAAGCAGGCAACTATGAACGAAACTTAACAACGAAAGTGCCGAAAAAATATTTTTCATATAAGTACTCTTTGCTATCATCAGCTAATCGCAGGTCCCTTTATCAATTGCGTCGCCGCAAGGACGACATTCAAAAATATATTCCAACTTCATTTGTCGGAAAAATGGTTCAATATTTCTAATGATTATGCGCGCCACCGTACCGCCATTACTGAATACACAAAAAATTCCAGCAGTAACTAGGCTACAAGTTGCGAACGCCATGCTCTCACGTGATTAGTGTCGATGAAGTGACAGTAATCATGAGTAATGCGAGAAAAATTTCGAAAATTCTAAGTTTTATTTGTATATTATTTTAAGGTCGAGTGGCAATAAGCCGCTTTACTTTAATATTTTACTATAAGCTTTCATAAACTGGCGCTGAAGCGTAGAGGCTTCTCTTAATTATCGGTTACAAATGACGACCTTGCCTTTGCCTTATCATCGTGCAGCGACCTCCAGTCTCGCCATATTCCTCCTGCGCGTATATAGTCCATTCATAGCTACTCCCTGGCTCTCCCGCAGATTAGGTCCTAACCCCTGCTATCATTAGTCCATTATACATACGTTCATTAGAAAATATTTCTATTTATAAAATTATAGGTTATTCTTTCTTGAATTTTCCTGCCTTCTTTTCTATTGTAGTTTTCACATTTTCCGTCCACTCGAAATTATCCTAATCTCTATTTCCCCATTTGAACACCTAATTCACTCGTTTTCATAAGACCACGACGAGTTTACTTATCATAAACTCGCCGGCATGGCCTCCCAAATATACACGATATGATTGATAGATTCACAAGGAGTATGCGCAAGGAGATATTCATGGTACGCCTAAAATTAGTGATGAGGTTTCTGTTAACGAGAAAATAAATTCAGAATTTCAAAAATAATCGAGAGAATTGATTTCAAAATACAAAATTCTTGATGATATTTCTTTGTTTTATTAGAAATACATCTAAATTGCTACACTATGGAACATTTTTCCATTAATAACATAAGACAACATAGCAATTTTTGATGGGTAGCTATTATATTTTCAGCTAGAATGATGACTTTCAAAATCGACCAATTCTTCTCCGCGCCAAATGTTTTCAAATTGCCCAAAGTTAAGCGCAAATAATCGCATTTACAACTATACACCGGCTGGTCTTAGACGGGGGCTTACATTTCTACCTGATTTTCTGAGGTTAAGGAGATTAAATCTAGATTTTGGGGCAAGATTTTGTTCCATCGATTGCTTGGAGCGCAGCCGCTGACAATTTTTATGAAATTGCGAGAAACATTACCAGAATCAGAAAAAAATAATATCGCTGTGATGAGATTACATGATAAGAGTCACAAACAAAATTATTCGGTCAGATCCCAGTACGAATTACAGAAAAAAATGGCGTCATCTTCGGCTGGTCAATTAAATTTTTAGAATAGTGCAATCCTTTTCCATTTACACGAGGTTTTTTGATAATTGAATGGAAACAATTCATTAAATACTGATCGTTATTCTAAATATTATAATTATAAATATTATTAAATAGTAATTCAATAAACAATCCGATACAGTTTCTTAGTCATATCTAGTGATATAGTGAGGCATTTGAGTACAAGTTAAATAAAATATTTACAAACTCCATATATCATAAAACTTTAATCAAAATTGAGGATGTAGGTACCTAGTATGAAAATTAAAACTGCTCATTTAGAAAACATGACATATAAAAAATATGATATATATTGTAGTTTGGATCAATTAAATATATTAGCACTGATACTGTTAAGATTGATCTGACAATGCGGTAATAAAGGTTTTCTAGACACTCAGAGGCTAGGGAGAGGCTGGAGTAAGCTGTGATTCAAGTTTATTGTTTACTGGTACAGAGCTGGTGTTGAACTGCCTAGGAGCAGAACGGGTATGACTAAGTTAACACAAAATTGAACTGTTTCTCAAATGGTCTGATGCAAGAAGTCAGGCGAGATGTTGCTACAATACCATATAGACCCTTTGACAAATTACAAAATTCCAGAACTTTTTTCATTATTCTAATTGAAGACCAAAAGTTATATCTAAATTGATTAAACTGCACCATTGATTGAGACTTGTAGCATTTCTAATAAAAAAATAAATGAAGTCTAGCTTAAGCTTCTTCTTATGTAAAAGTCCATGTTCTCCTCCCATCAGAACATTGTTGATTTCTAATTTGAAGCTAAATAAAACAATAAAGATCTGCATAGCTGATATGCCAATAATATGATATTACTAATGTTTAGAAATTTAAATTTCAATAAAATGTATATAAATAGTATTTATAAATACTTTTCAGAGTATTTGTAACTTTAATTTAATACATACCAGTATACAGATTCCTGCAAAGGAAAAATTCTTATTAATGCAAAAATGAATACCTATTCCAATAAACAAGGCTATGTTGACTAACCGGCAACTCCACCATAAGGCTTGAAGGCCATGTCAAAGTAAGTGTCGCAGCAACTCTATGCATCTGCTGGCGATCAAACTCGGCTCTGGGGTCCATCTTGAGGGAAAGCTCCTACAGTTCCTTAAGTTTCATTTAAATTATCTACATCTACATTGATCTCTACAATAGCTTCACAATTGACTTTATAACAAATTGTGAGTAAACACTTGAACGTGATGACTAAAAACTCAGATTCCAATGAAAATAATTAGCTTAATATTGATAAATCTTCATAATGTATACTGAGATGAAATTAAATGGATAATGATACAAATGATATCATGCTACCCAGTCTGCAAAAAATGTCAATTTAAATGTTTACCTAAATATGTAAACATGTTTTATTGAAATAGGTATACAAGATCAGAACTTATGTACGTGTATATTTATTACTTAGAACAATTACCCTGGGAGGATAAGCTCACTTTGATGAGAGAACGCAGGTTGGCCGCTGCTTTCTTGACGTCTGCTTTGGGTGCGCCTGATGACTCCAGCTGCTGTATCATCTCTCCCTTAAAAAATTATTATATAATAACTACATAACTATAGTCTGCGTACATCAATTAAATTATTTAATTTAAATTTACTTAACTATTTAAATTTTGCCCATCACACTTATTGATATAAATAAGTATATATCGTTAGCTTATTTGGTTACTGGGAGACATGTTTATAGTCCACCAGGATATCATAGAAATAATTCTTACAAAAACTGAATTAAAATTCACTATATATGGTTCAAATATCACTATATATTGCTGCATTTTATTATTTTGTAATCATAATAATCAACTCCATATAAATCTTAGCTCAAAACTAACTTGCAATTTAATCTTGCCCTTAAGTGATGCAATAAGTTGCTGGTCCGCAGAGACTTCGTCATGGACATTCCTGTTACAATAATGCCTATTGTTGCTGTTAAAGCCAATTGTTAAAGTTGAGGCTTTAAAAATGTTGGATATTTTATGATACTGGCAATATGAAATGCCTAAATTATTTGCTCTTTGATTAGCAGGCAGCAAAAGTTCGATGTTAAAATTTCAACATAGAAAAAATTTAAACATATTTGTGGAAGTCAGCATTTTGACAGGATATTTCTTGAACAAATTCTTTGAATACCAATAATATTATCTATTGAAGTCAACTACACAATTCTGTAATAGAGAAAAATCAAGATATATAAAAACATGGGATTAGTAGTAAATATTTATATACAGGGTGCGGCGCGGGAACTTACTTATTTGAATTGCGCGCCACGTGGCGGCCATTAGTCCTAGGAAGGTGGCGCCATGCGCAATATTTTTATGATACTGGCAATATGAAATGCCTAAATTATTTGCTCTTTGATTAGCAGGCAGCAAAAGTTTGGTGTTAAAATTTCTACATAGAAGAAATATAAACATATTTGACAGGATATTTCTTGAACAAATTCTTTGAATACCAATAATATTATCTATTGAAGTCAACTACACAATTCTGCAATGGAAAAAATTCAAGATGTATAAAAAGCATGGCATTATTAGTAGGTAAATATTTATATATTATGGCATGGAAATTTCTAGAATTTAATGAAATGTCAAGAGAAAATATTCCACAAGAAATTCATGAGCCACTGGAGGTTGTAATATTGACCCACTCATTATTATGAGATGTGTTTACTGCAGTTAAAACAATTCCCATGATGAAGTGTGCAAAAGTCCTCTAAGAGACTATAGTCAGATGGGGTAGGACAGAATCGCAGCCTTCATGGGGTAAGAAAGGATCAACCCATGGCATGCATTCTAATTGCACTGAATTTAATTTGATAGAAGAGGAATATGTTAGAGCAATAATTGCATGCCATTTCAGTGTATGTTTCAACCCTGTTCTGCAACTAATGAATTTTTGGTCAATTTTTGAAGAAAAAAAGAAGGGTCACAAAATAGTTAACCCTATTTGGGAAATAAGCTCTGTCTAATGACAAAAATTTTTTGGCCAGGTTTGTGGATGTAGGCAGGTAACCTCAAGTAATAAGTAACTTTTGAGACATACTAGGCATTTCTACCTGCTACCCCTAACAAAATTTAGAGTCGCCCCAGCTTCTGGTACTCCAAATCAGAAGCTGACGCGTCTGTAAAATTTCACTGCTACCATCACTGCCTGACATCTATTCTAAAATGGGGTAAAAAAAGACTGGACATGGGATAAGATGGGACCACTAAATGATCCTGTCTTTCCCCACAAATGGTCCTCTCTTACCCTACAGTTTATCAAAAGTAGTTTTTATATGAATATACGGTATTATTGTGCAGTATGTATACATGGAGTATTTTGGTCAAAATTTTTATCTTTTGCTCAAACTTCATTCTAATTTGTTTGCTTTTTAATTAGAGAAATTTAGTGTACTATTGTAAATTGCATCAAAGGGATGGATAAAATAGAGATCTCTTCTCATTAGTGAGCAGCAGAAATATGTGCAAGATTGGCTGGAGGAAAAAGGGAAAATTGTTATGTGAAACATGAAAAATACAAGTTATTATCACAACTTTGTGAGAGGGCATGGGCTACATTTGAAGAAGTGCACCAAAAATGCAGTTAGCAAGAAAACAAAGGATGTCTGACACTTAAGTTAATATCCATGGATTCTATTACCAATTTGATAAATTTTTCTGACAATGACACTGATGGAATATGCATGTAGCATTTAGCAGTGCTCTACAATGAACCAAAGCCAACCTACTATTACTATGCTTAACCTTTTAACGACAAGATGTACGATACTATCGCTTTTCAAACTTGCTCTGTAATATTATTGTCAAGATAAGGATTTGGTGCTAGTTGTTTTGAACGTGTTTGGTAAGCGACTCTGCTTTGCTTTGGTGGTGCAACTCTACTCTTTACCCCCAATTATACAGTACAGCACTGATCTTGTTGGGAATCCGTGGTGCCATTTATTTGTTTAACTTTCCCAATCTTTATTGGACTATGGTGGGAAAATCAGATAAGTTACAGCACTGAAATAATTCTAAATTGTTTCTAGTACAATAGTGCATGCACATGCAAAATTTGTACATAAAATAAAAATTACATGCATATACCGTATCACCTTGTTTTTCTAAAGGCAACTGTTCAGTACAGTTGGACTTGCAACTGCGTTGTTTGAAACACGACCATTGAGTCATGTTGGCCTACGACCATGCTAGTAGGGAATAAAATATTGTGTTTTCATTGCTATTCAATAATTTAGTGCCCTTCTACTATATTTATCTCACTACAATACTAGTGAAAACACTAATCCAGTTTACCTATTTTATGTCTCCATACACTGGCCAAATGATCAAATTATCAAAGTGTACTTGTAATATTTTATGCCTTTCAGAATCCTTCAAGGGTTTTAGCATAAAAACCTTTTCTTGTCCAAAGAAAAAGTCCCAGTCTATGTGAACAGCATCTTGCTACTTCATTCTCTAGTGAATCTAAGGAAGACTCTGGATCAAGAGGACATATTGGATATGATATTGGTTTCANCTCTAGACCACAATAAATTCAACAGGCTCTGTGAAACCCGTGACTACAACAGCAAACCCCAAACTATACACAGCAACAACCCCAGCAGAAGAGCAGAAGACTACATTCTCTAACAATTGGGTGTAATCTATAAAAAGGTTGAAGATCTTTAAAATAAGGAATTAATTTTAATAAATTAATCAACCAATTTCATCTGAAGAATATTGTTTAACTCTGAAAATTTAGATCAATGAATATTCTCTAGCCTTAACCAGCCGTGTTTAAACAAGCTTGTTCTGCCATCTAATGCTAAAAACATGTAGCAGTACATGTAGCAGCCTAAGTAGAGGTAATGGCCAAGTACACACAGTGGCCTGAGTATATGCCTACAAGGCTACATGCAGTTGCATAATACAAAAAGCAGCTCAAGTACACACAGCAGTCAATTTCTCGTCTGTGATTACTGGCTTGGGCTTTAAAAGCCATCAGTGATTGGCTGATTGTCACTAACTTGTAACAATTTTCCATAGTATGTGCCTACATTAAAAATCTAAAAGCATTGAAGTCACTTGTTTGCTTGAATTGCAAGTTGCAACTTAACTTGAGATTTAAAAGAAAAGAAAATTCCTCCGAAGTTCATCAAATCTATATACTACATAGAAATTATTTTGGAGTCCAGCTTCATTGTTGGTTTAATGATAATAGAAATATTATAAAATCACAATTTTGCATAACAGACTGAATATTTTCTGAATAGATATTATAAACTAGTCTGGAATTTTCTTTGTTTAGTAAAAAAGTAAAAGTAAAACAGGTAAAGCCTGGTAAAAGTCTACGGCTTCATTGAATCAGTACCTCTCTTAATGGCAAAGTTTCAATAAACATTTCTCTAGTGAAGAAAGTGGTGAGTATATAGGTTAGCTTGACCTCATATTTAACTCCATGAACCCCCAAGCCAGGGTGCAGAGAGCGGGCAAATATTTAATGATCTTTTATTTTAAAGACCTGTGGTAACACATCAACATCAAGTTGTCTCCAGAAGATCTTGCCAACACATTTCATGTTAAATAATTAATTGAATTTATTTTTGGCAAGACATCTCGAAGGCTTAGGCAGTTCTGGCAACAAATCCTCAATAATGCTGGCCTAAGATCCTGCTCTTGGCAACACAACTGCCAAACTCTGCATAGTGGCCTTCAAGTATCTCTGCTGTAGTGTATGGTATATATCAATCATAAAAAATGCTATTGGTAGAAAATTCCATTTTCATAAGTCAACACTTGGCATTGTATTCAAGTAATAGAAAAGTTCAGTTGTTGATCAAGCTAATTGATAGAGAATTTTCAGATACATTTTTAAAAATAAGTCCATGCATCTTCATCCAAGTCACTGAGAGGTCAGTGCATAGATTTTTCCAACAATTCTCTGTCCATGAATTATATCAAAGAAATTACCTATTGTGAAACTTGAAATACACAGTTATATACTGGTCGGGGTCAAGGCTCTAGACAATATTTATACTTGTTCTTAGGAGCCACAACTAGTCTAGAGCTTTACCCCCATTATTGGTGCCCAGAGATTCCTGCTAGACAAAAAACTTCTATATAATTGGAAGCAAAAGTTCATGATCGAGCAATGGCCTGTGAGATTTTTAATTTATTGAAAATTTCACCTTGGAGCTGCAAAATTTCAGTAATAAGTAGGAAAATTAAATTCGGTAATAAGTAGACCAGGTAGAGGTAGACAAGTAGAGGTAGACCAGATAGAGGTAGACCAGGTAGAGGTAAACCAGGTAGAGGTAAACCAGGTAGAGGTAAACCAGGTAGAGGTAAACCATAGATTCATCAGGCAGGACTTACTAAGTTAGCTACGTATTGACTTGTAGTGGCAGAGGCAGAGCTGCAGAGCAGAGATTTTCCAGAATTCTGTTCATTTTAGACTCCCTAATATAGTTCAAAATTCAATTATATATGTATATATAAGAATATGCTGGACAATCCACAATACTTCTCTACTCTAGTATACAAATCTACGTTCTACACTCTACAGTCTACTCATAGTACTCACTACATTAAAAACTTACCAGGATGGTTTGATCTTGAATATATTAACTCTGAGACCATCATTCCTACCAAGTACCATCAATGATACTTGAGTCGCCACTCGCCACTGAACAGATCCAGCACTAAGTTTTTTTTTTAATTTGATTTTAAGACTTCGGGTGTGAAACCGTCACACCTCCCAGGCTCCCAGCCTGAGCACAACTTGATTTTTCTTGAAAACTCCAAGTCTCCAACTCAACTGCCTCTTCACTTCATTTTGAATTTTTCATCATGCTCTCACAAAGAGGTTTTAGTGTGGAAGAAAATAACAAAGGAATTAGGCACCGATAATTTTCATAGGGTGTTCACCATGCTACATTTTAGCAGGTATTGTCCCAGGCGATACCTAAATGACCACAGTTCTCCTTTTTTGGAGAATATCACCCCCTACCAGTCCCAGAGCTGTGATGAGGTCATCCAAAGTCCAAACTGCGGCAATATTCAGGAACCTGCAAATATATCCACAGGTTAGTCCAAGGTTCCAACTCCAAGGAACACTAAGTTGATAAGTGCACTTATCTCACAGCTAAAAGGCGTTTAATACTAAATACTAGTCAGCACTATGA